CCATTCAAAGTAGCAGACTCTCAGGCAGCTAAACACACATGCATGCCATCACACTGAAGCTCTTAAATAATTTATATCTACAAAAGAAAAAGGAAGAAAAGAAAAAACACCTCCCACATCTGAGTATTCAAATCCTTTTTCAATCTTTATATTTGCTTCCTTACAGAAAGAGGGAAAAAGAGGAAAAAATAATGATCACAGAAATTAAAAAAAACAAAACCAAAAACAAAAAAAACCCACTGCATATGCACAGCTTGATACATAAAGAACAGCTTTTAGTCTATGTAAGAAAAGATAAATAAAGGAGAATTTAAACAAGATACCATGAGTTTTAAGAGAATTGACTGAATTAAGACTGGAAGCTGAAGTTACCAAGACTGATGATGTACATATAATCACACAAATCTACCTTCTTAAATTAGAAAGTGAGAAAGAACTCCAATACTGCCATTGATTCTATCACCAGAAAGATTCAACACAAGCTGTTTTTTCCCCAAAGACAATTATCCAGTAGAATCACAACTAGAAGACTGAAGAAAGGATTGCAAAGAAACCTGTAGACTCAGTTACAGCAGTGCAAATTGGATTGTTACACTGGATGTTATTACTTTAAGATCCCCTTTGACACAGTATTCCCTAAGTAATTTTGCTATCTCCATCTGTAAATGCACTTTAAAAATTTCAGCATAGCCCGACAGCATCTCCTATTTTTAATTTCCAATACATTACTTCAGCATTTATTTAATAGCTTCCTTCCTTTTTTTTTTTTTTTTTTTTTTTTTTTTTTTTTTTTCTTTTTTTAATATGCATATACTCTCTCTGTTGCTTGGAAAGCAGTTTGAAAAGCAATTAGGGGCAAAATTATCTTAACATGACAGTTTCTACACAGCGATATTGTTTAGACGTTGATGAGTTAAACTTAAAATTGGTGCTTACAGGTAAGATTATATAACAAAGTGCCAGAACTCAGCACTAAAATTTAGTATCATAACCCACAGTGTTAATTCATGCCAACAAAAATAACAGCATGAGGAATTTACAATTTTACAGAGCAGCAATAAAGAGTTTTAGGTAACATCTGTTCAGCAATCATTTCTTTAAAAGGCTAATTTAGATTCAAGGTCTTACACTGCAGTATAACTGCAGCAATAATTCACTCACTTCATAATTAAAGATATTGACACAGATCGGTCTTACCTTTCTCCTCTACGCCATTCAAACAGAAATGCTTTTGCTTTTAACTACATCTTTCTTTGATTTATAAACACTATTAAATGCAAGTGTTAATTTGCCTATGTTAAACAGATTGCTGCAAACAAGAAAGTCTTCCTGACTCATATAAATTTCATAGAGAACTTAAAAAATACAATCTGAAAGTCACTGAAGATTGTATTAATTTCAGTGTATCACTGACCAAACACTTCTAAATCATCTATATGTCCAGTTGGCATTCTGTGGTCTCGCACCTACAAGATGTGGTCCCAGTAAAGAGCAATTAGAAGTAATTCAAGTGATCTAGCAATCATTTACACAATTTCTAAACATTTCTAAGAAAATTATGTACATGCACCAAGTAAAAGGAACAGCCTCCTCAGTGGATTTCAGAAGATTCCTGCTCAGAAAATATATAGCTAGGTTGAACCTCTGCCATCCTTTATTCCATTTCTGCTTTTTACCAAACTCAAACCTCTCAAAGATGAACGTAAGGGCTTTCAACAAAGCCAGGCCACCAAAGTATCACACAGCACGTTATCCTTCCAAGAATTCCACTGTACCAAACCCTTAGGCCTGCTGAACAAAGCCAAACTGTTAAATGCTTCAGAACTAATCATCATGCCATAAAAATGTGGGGTTTTTTTGTTTGTTTTTTTAATAATTCTGTGAAAGAAGAGAGAGAGCTAGGAACTACAACTCAAATTCCTTCTTCTGCAAAGCTAGTTTATTCAGGACGGCAGTACTTCAGGAAGACGTTTAATTGGAATTAACAACTATTTAGCCCAAAGCCTCTTTCTCCCTCATCTAAATGAAGTGGTAAAAATCAAAAGAATGTTCTCCTGCTAAATAAGGAGTTCTGTTGGAGGGGAAAAAAAAAGTGCATGTTAACAATATCAATTTTGTTAACCAGCAATCCAATTTCACCTAAAGGTCTGTCAAGGAATCAAATTCTTTTCCAGATAGGCTTAACTACTGTTGATTTGGTAACTCTCAAGTGCCAGATCAATATGTTCCATTGATTGGAACAGTCCAACTTGGAATTTATCTTGAAGCCTTTTGTCCTAAGGAAAATTAGACTAATCCAATCTGGATGACTTGAGTTTGTTGAATCTGATAGTCAATTTTAACCACATTTGATAAATGCATATTAGATAAGAAACACAATTCAGGTTACACGAAGAAGTATGGCATGACAAGTATCCCAAACATAGACAGGGCAGAGCCTGTATTTATGACTGGATTACACATAATTCAAAGGACTAAGGAGAAGTTCAGTGTACTCTGACACAAAACTAATCTAACGAATGAAAGAAGATGTATTACAGGAGAAATTAGATATGAACAAATCAATACACATACAACATCTTGCACACCATTCACTCCTCTCTCTAAAAAAAGTCTCTTAAGAAGACAGGAGGTAGAGAGGACGAAGGAGAATATACCAATTTTAGTTTTAATAACGGATAAATATTCTGCATTGCAACATCTTAAAGCAGAAATTGATGATATGACAAAAAGAGACACATTTCTCCCAGTACCTTTCAAGGAAACCACTACAAATCAGAGACGTTGATTAAGGCCTACAATCATTAAAATAACAGATATTCACAACTTATACTGATTTGTACCTTTCTTCAGCAGAAAATTATTACCTGAGACAAACCAGGGATTAGAGAAAACAGCCCAATGGTTACAGAAGCTGTAGCAACATTTTAGATTTCGGGGCATGAAACAGCTTGCGACCCCATAGAAACTGTTAATTGCCACAGATGAGATTTGTAAAGCATACTTTTCAGCAGTTTACACGAAGACAGAGACAAAAACTAACACTCTGCTTATGGAATATCAGCTCTTCCTAAGGTCTCCCAGTGAGCTAATAGCATACCTAGAAGACAGGCCACATTAGAAAGAACTGTCACATACCACCATCCCAAGGCAACATCTTTGCTTTAAGAGTACTTATAAAGATAAAATACAAGACTGTTGTTTCAGGTCAAGCACCTCTGAAAGTGACAAAGCATTCCCGTGAATTAAGAATATTCTCAGTCACTCTTGCTTAAAGAATTTCAGAAACTGGGAGAGAAAAAAAAAAAAAAAAAAAAAAAAAAGCCATACTGTCACAATAATCACACACTCTACAAAGCTAAGTAAAACACCCAAATCCAGCTTCCTTGGCTTTGTGTATTTGGGTCAAAGTAAAATCAATACTATTGTCCTAAGAAGCCAGTGAGCTGATGCCTCACCTGCACATGCCTAGACTTCACAGACAGACACAACAAACAAGCTCATCTGCACCAAAAAGAAGGCCTCTTTTCTCTACAAATCCCATCTGAGTTCCTTTCAGCAACAAATTCTCAAGGGCCTTGTTATAGCTGACAGTTCCACTCCCTAAAAAATGTTTGTATTTCTATTGAGGGGAATACTGAAACTGATGGGAACACCCTGATTTCCCTCCCCAAATGTGTTTAAACAGTGGAAATGATGGCAAAATGCAATTTGCCTAAGATCTTAACAGTTAAAGCATAGCCAAGAAATAAAAGATTTTTAACTCAATGCTGTTGTCAGCTTTAATTATACACAAATCTGCCTCTTGCTTCCTGCAGGAATAAACCAGTTACCAAGTCATATTCCAACACTAGTCCAACTGAGCAGACCATATAGCTTTTCATTCAGAGACCCTAGGCTAAAGAATGTTTTCTGACACAGCCCTGTATTTATCTGTGACCAGCTCTTGGCCCACAGATTCATACACACACATTCTAAAGAGCATGGTACACATCTGCTCTGCATATGGTGGGTACTTGTAGAATGTGTATTTGCTCAGCTTTGATATTTGAATAACTTGGCGTGTCCAAAGAAAAAAAAAATGGCTATTTTTAGGTTCTTTTTAGCTAGGGCACATCTTACATACATATAATTTTGTAGGCACCTATTTGCTCTTTTCAGTTTCCCAATTGATGAGTTTGTTAGACAAACCTTGTAAAGCAGAGTTAGGGAGATCTGCATCCCTTAGATTACTATGTTACACTACTACTACAGTATTCTATTAGAAAGCGTCCAAAGAAGGGCTTCAAAGATTGGGAAGGATCTAGAGGGGAAGACATATGATGAGCAGATGAAGTCTCTTGGCTTTTTCAGCCCAGAGAAGAGGAGACTGAGAGACCTCATTGCGGCCTATGGGGGCAAGAGGAGCAGAGGGGCAGAGCTGATATTTGTTCTCCAGCGACAGCGTCACAGCATCCTCATGAGAGGATCAGATTGGACAACTAGAAAAGGCTCTTCACCAGAGAGGTGGTCAGGCATGAAACAGGCTCCTCAGGGAAGCGGTCAAAGAACTGAACTTGTTGGGAGTTCAAGAACAACTCTCTCAGACGTACAGTCTGATTTCTGGGTCACCCCCTGTGGAGCCAGGACAAGGACTCAATATTCCCTTCCAATTCAGGATCTTCTATAAAATTCAGAGTCCATTTTCCACTAAACAGTTTATATGACCAAAACAAAGCCCAAACATCCAGCTCTAGTGGAAGTGGCATCATTTACGGGTGAAGAGCCATTCTGTTAACACCCCTACAACTGTCACACAGTGATTCAGAAAACTTCTTCATAAAGAGCAGTGACCTGAAAGCACGTGAGGCAACAGGGAGCCGGGCCCTGTGAGGACAGCAGGACAGAAGCAAGCTGGGGCGGGCAGGCCCTGGAACCCTTAGGGAGGCTCTCCCGGGCGCACATTCAGGCAGGCCTCCGCCTATGCCACGGGCAAGGCCGTAGGAGGGAGCCGTACTTACGAATTTAGGCTTCCTGCCGTCCACGGCCTCCTCAGGTCCGCCGGCCGCCGGCGGGCCCTTCCTGCGGATCCCCTTGTTCTCCCTCCCGCCGCGACCCGGTGGCGAGCGCGGCCGCGGCCGCCGCGACTCCATGGCCGTGCCCTGAAAAGGCGAAACGGAGACAGCCGGGGGCTGCGATTAGAGCGGCTTAGCTGAGCTGGGCCGGCAGGGCGCCGCGGGGGAGTAGGAGGGGGCCTCAGGGCTAAAGCCAGGCAGAGGATTTACAGCCAGCAGCCTTTAATCCAGGTACCGATGGCTGCCCTCCGGACTGCACCGCGGAAGCAGCTTCGCGCCACACACGGACCGGGGGCAGCACAAAACGCGCTCCAAACGGCCGCACCCCAACGCTCAGCGCCCAGGAATGCACCGCCTTCCGAATCGTCCCGCCACTGCCGGTCCCGCCCCATACCCCTCCACGACAGCCAATCCACGGCGGCAGAAGGAAACGGTCGCTTCCTGGTTGGATGGCCTGCTGCCAATCGCCGCTGAATCAGCTGTTCTCCCCGAGAGCCGGCGCTCTCGCCGCTCGTTTCTCGCACTACGTGTCCCAGAGAGCGCTGTGGCCCGCTCCCCGCGCGCGGCGGGAGCTGTAGTCCCGGACGTCCTGGGGGGACGGGTGCGTCTCCTCTGTCAGTTCGGGGAGCTGTGCGCCTGGGGGCGGGTTTTGTGACTTCGTTTGGAGCTGTGGTTCGATGTTCCTTTTTTTCCCGTTCCCTCCCTGACACTTTTTATTAGTCTGTAATTTTGGCCCCAGGAAGTTTTATACTGCCACGTAATTCGAAGCTTGTGGCGGTGTGCCCCGACAGGGCGGTTCCCTCACTGGTTGAACTGTGCATGTGCAGGTACGTGTCCAGAGAAGGAGACTCCACAACATCTCTGGGCAGCCTGTTCCAGTGCTCTATCAGTCTTACAGTCATGATTTCATTGCTGCATGCCACTGGGAAGAGTCTGCCCTCATCGGCTTGAGTCCCACCCTTTCATAGAATCATATCATAGAATGGCCTGGATTGAAAAGGAGCACAGTGCTCATCTAGTTTCAATCCCCCTGCTATATGCAGGATCGCCAACCACTAGACCAGGCTGCCCAGATCCACATTCAGCCTGGCCTTGAAATCTTCCAGAGATGAGGCATCCACAAGCTGTTTGGGCAACCTGTTCCAGTGTGTCAACACACAATGTGTGAAAAACTTCCTCCTAATATCTAACCTAAACCTCCCCTGTCTCAGTTTAAGACCATTCCCTCTTGTCCTCTCATTATCCACCCTCGTAAACAGCCATAAATAGTTGTACCCAGGTCTCTCAGCCTTTCTTTGCAACAGAGATACTCAGCTCTGGGTATCATTAAGAAAAAAAAGATAGCACTCAGCATTCATATCTAGAGTGTTTGCCAAAATAGCAGCAGTTTCTTTTTTCTTCAGTAAGAAAGATACTGATCTTGTTTTTGAAGTGTAGTTATGCCTTGAATATAGCAAAAATAAAATGTCTCCCCAAGACTAGATGATCTCCTGAGGTACCTTCCATCCCCTACAATTCTGTGATTCTGTGATTGTATTCACTTTTTCAAAATAATTTGAATGCCTTTCATTACAATGCAGTGACAAAAGATAAAGTCATCAGTCCCTCAGCATCGCCCAAACAGATGCAACCCATCACACTTGCTGCACCTAATGCCTGCAGTGATGTGGAGTTCCATTAAAGCACGGTAGAGTTTAGCCCCAAACTGGACCTTTGGAGGTCTGGGACCCAACACTGTGGAGCTGTGGGGCTAGAATTATTTGAATACATTAAAGTGTTTGTTCTTGGCACATTTCTGTAGATCTTTTGTAAATTTGTATTGGAATTCTTTGTGGAAAGTGTAATTAGCATGACACTGTTTAATGTCATGGTTAATGATTTCCTGGAACATTTGATTAGAAAATTAATCAGCCTATGTATGCATATGATAAAGCTGTTTAAATGGACCTCCTAATTGCACTGTGGTAGAACACAATGCTTTGTGCCAATATATCACTTTCAAAGTACTGTATTGCGATAATAGGGAAACACTAAAGAGAATAATTTATTAGACAATTTTCTAAGCCAAAAATAAATGTTAGTACTTTTGATCAATTATTATTATCTTTTACATTACCTCTCTTGTGCTTCTTAGGTGCTTAACAGCATAGTTGGTCAAGATTAATAATAACAGAGTAGTAGGTGCAAGAATGAATCAGTAACACTGGCTCTAGTATCTCCCCTGTGAGGACAGGCTGAGAGAGCTGAGGCTGTTTGGCCTGGAGAAGGAAAGGGGAAAGATGCTTTATCACAGTCTGTTGTGGCAGAACAAAGGGAAACTATTTCAAAGTAAAAGAGGGGAGATTTAGACTGGATAGAAAAAAAACATTTCCAAGAAAGGCGGTGAATATCCCATCCCTGGAGATATTCAAGGTCAGGCTGGACCAGGCTCTGAGCAACCTGACCTAGCTGTAGGTGTCCGTGTTCATTGCAAGGGAATTGGACTAGATTACCTTTAAGGGTTCGTTCCAACTTAAACAATTCTATGATTCTGCAGTTTTGAAGAGACTATACTTGGACTGTGCTTACTGGCTGGAACATGCATATAGCTTGATGATTTTGCTTTATTCTTTTCTCAAATGAGTTTTTCAGTTTCAAAAACGTATGAGACAAAGAAACAGCATAACTTAAATGTAGGAATATTTGCAAAATTTGAATTGATGTATTTAACTTGATTCTCCCAATTTTATTCCGTGTCTTTTTTTTTTTTCTTTAGTGTGGCTCAAGTCTTAAACCTACAGAAATGAATATCTTCTTGATATTCATTCTTCCAGAGAGGCAGTTTTTCAAATAAATCCCTATGTACTGGATTTGCAAGCTGGCTTTTGACTGAAATTAGGCAGTTCTCCATATTTTATTTAGAGATGCCTAGTTCTTGCCTACACAAAGACAGTAAAACTGTAAATTAACTGTTTTTCTTTTTTCTTTTTTTTTAATTAGATTAATCCTATTAGACTGTCACATAAAAGCTAGAATTTTGTAAGAAATGTTATTGTTCTTATACAGCTATCATACAGTTTCAACAGACTTTGTCAGTAAGGCCACACAAGTGCTCCAACTGGCAGAAACAAGAAGGATGCTAGCTGCAAGTGCCTTTCCAGGATATTTCTTCTTTCTTTCATGAAAAGCACCAAACAGGCTCTCTATCTCAAATCTCTCAAACCGACATAACTGTTTGTAAATTATCCCAATTGATTGTATCTTACACCTTCCCTAAAATCTTATTCGAATGGTTAATAAAGTAGTTACACCAAAAATAAATCATAGGATTGCTAACCTAATAATAAAAAAAAAGTAAGTAATAAAAATTAAGTTTGAAAAACACAGCCTGTTGTTGTGTCTTATCGAGTGAACTGATGATGTTTCTTAAGAAACTCTTAACAGGTGCATTTTCATACTGCAATACAGTCCCTGATAATTTGAATGTACTACAATGTTATGTTATTAAATACAGCCTATGGATTAGATATTACTTATTTTTCACAGCAAAAATGTGAGAATCCTATTATTCCATTAGTAAGATAAATTGAGATAGAAACTCAAATTGTTCGTATATTAGATTTACGAAGGAACCTGGCTGCTAACAGGTTTATTGTGCTAATAAATGACCAAATTTACGTTAAATTTCTGAGGAAAATCATGCTCTGCAAGTATTAAATAGAATTAAATGAATTTTAAATTGATTAAATACAGTTTTATAAAAAGTAGTTTGCTGTGGTTTTCTCTGTAAAAAAAAAGAGCTCAAATTCTTTTGCTTTATTGGGCATAATTCAATGGTCATTTAATCACAAGTTGTTATAATCTGTATGTATGTAGCATAGATTTATTTAGGCAAATGAAAAATTACAGATTTACCCTGGAACATCATTATCACCTAATACTAAACCACATTCCTAAGCGTCGCATCCACACTTTTTTCTGCCACCTCACTCATCAGACTGTTGCAATGTTGATTTGTGAAGAAATTCTTTCCAACACCTGATAGAAACCACCCCTGGCACAACTTGCAGCTGTTTCCTCATGTCCATACTGTTGTGTAGCAGAGTATAAAGATGAGAAAGGCATACCTGAAAACAGCGTATGTCACAGTCTTGTTATTGATTTTATATCAGTCGTAACTTTTGGAAATGTTGAACAAAATTTTACGTACAATGGATTTATTCACTCTCTTTTCTAGCTAAAATTTAAATGACTTTCAAGAGTAGTTGTAATCTGAATGTCACCATTTTCCTTTTTGAAGCTTTCAAAGTCACCCTGTTAAAGATGAGGGTATAGTAAGTAGGAAAGTGGTTTGCTCAATTCATTCACTGTAGATTACATGTTGCTAATAATTTCTCACAAAATATTTTAGGCTAACCTCTCACTCGACTGAGGAAATTTAATGCAGCTCCTATAAGATGGGATAGGAAAAAAAATCAGTGAATAAGTCCATTATACAGTTCATCAAATGGATCTTTATGAGGATATTGAAGATGTGATTTGTGGCACTATTTAGGATACACTGCATATTACATTATTATAAAGTTCAGGTTTGTAATTTAATTATATGCCAAATTATCTTCAGTTCTAACTGCAGAACTGACTGGGCCAAGCCTGGACAGCTGATATAAATTAAAGATTTTAAGTGGTCTGAGTGTCACGGATTGCAGTATAGGCTATGTTATATAATTTTATACTAAGTGTGGGATTTTCAGAGCCACCTAAAGAATTAAATGAATTACCATTACTGTCTATTTTACCATTACAGTAGTAAATGTTCCTTGCAAAGTTAGTATGAATTGTTATTTTTTTCCCAAAAGAAAATAAATGCGTTTCTAGAGGAGAAAACTGTGAAGTTGTTCTTTCTGGATTAAGGGTCCACAGTAGTATGATCAAGCATAGAGACATTTCAGGGCATTTACCGAAAACTTTCTAAGGCTTATGTCAGAATGCTGGGGTGTACAATTATCTTCTATTATTTCTAGGTAACTCACTGAATTCATCATAGCTTTCCTTTTTCAGTATATTTTCATCGTTTTAATGCTTCACTTTTCAAATTT